AAACAAATAATAGTACTTGTTCGGATCGAGGAAATATTCCACTAATATATATATTTTTGTGGTCGGCTTTCATTTAAAGGTAAAACAATGTCAAGAACCAGCGGTACAACGTGAACCATTATGAGAACAATTATACCAGGAACGACGCCACCAACTGTATCAGAACAATTAATATTATATTAATTCATCGATTTATTGATGACATATTATAAAAATTTATTTAATAGTAATTTAATTGTTATATTATTATTTTCATAACTCAGTAAAATAATTTTGTAAAAAAATATTATGTGTAAGCATGTATTTATATGATGTTTTTCATTAAAACAATCATAAAAAAATTTATAATTTAAAATTAATTATAATAATTTATCGAAAATATTTTTAAATTAAACTATTATATTATGTTATGCATATAATATATAACACGTACCATGTTTACACTACATTTATACTCATCGTTTTATTCTATATATACTATCATATTATTAAGTTTGATTATGTATTATTTAGAATATTAGAAAAAATACATAAGTTGATATTAAAAATTATAAGAGTATCTCTAGATATCTCATTAATTATGTTAAATATAATTTTTTGTAGAAAATTCTTATTAATTTAGCGTTTTTAAAAAATACGAATAATTAAGTACGTAAATTCTTACAAAAAAATAATTGCGTAAGTATTTTTGTTATAGTAGAATAATTATTCATTATGGTGAGTTCTGCATGATCCTTACAAGATTTCCAATCGCGTAATATGAAGTCCATTGCTTCCTTGAACTAATAATTAATAATGATTAAAATATGTACAAAATGAATATTTGTGCTTATAAGATTCTTAGCTTACAAAGTCAACGTTGAAATAATAAAAATCGTATACAATTATTATATAAATATTAGGAATTATCAGAGAAAGTACATCAATCAACAGATTCAATGTGAATTCATGCGTGATAAAAACCGCTAACTAAAAATAGTAATCATATTATTAATATTTGATATTCTTTGAATCCAAGTGAAGGATGATTAAAGAAATGTAAACCTGAACAAGTAAACCTGATAGAAATAAACTTCTAATAATCATTGCTTTGATACAGCGCATCCATGTTGAACTTTGATACGGCCATAATCCGAGTGCTTCTAATATAATTTCAGTGATTTTATAGTAACGGTCTATCACTGAGGACATCTTGATGATTGATGTGCAAATGAAAGGAGAATATCAAGCCCACATTTTTTATTGGATATATCATCTATCTCAGTATTTTATATTTTTCAATAAAACTTTATAAAGTTATATAATGGATTTATAATCATGAAATTATTAAAATTGAGTAATAATAAATAATTTAATGTAAATATCATATAGTAAATGAAAAGAAGAATCGTTATCGATTAATGTGAGAAACGACTATAAGGTAAAACGGAAGCGAAACGCTGACGGTATCAATTGACATAATTATACTTTGAGAAAAAACATTTGTTTTCCTGAATTCAAATTTAAGTATTTCGTTGAAAATATTTTTTACGTTATGTCAATTTGTACGCATATTTTACAGTATACAGTTCTATGAGTGTCATTGTCTTTTAACCTTCTCTATAATAATATTTATCTATATCTATAATAATATTGTGAAGAATATGCATTGTACTTAATCGAAATTATAACTTCTTTTGGCAACTTATATACGTTTATCGAAAACGTTTTTCATTTTTTACATTTGATAAATATGGTTCTATAAATTTTTATACGTTTCTTATAGTAAGCCATATTTATTAGCACTGTATAAGCATTAATTTTACTTTAATTAAAATTTTATTTTAAGAAACGCAAATTTTACTTTTCAAAATAATATTTCATATGTTACATAAAATATTAAGTTAATAAAGATCTAGTTTCTGCATTTTATTATTATTTATATGATCGATTGTTTATAAGATCATTTTAATTATACATTGGTATTGCAATGTAATAATAATAGTTCAAAGAAAGAATGTTTTTTATTAACAGTGTAATATACATTTAACTCACATAATGTGTATGTAGACTTTAAAGAGTTAATAAAATTATGAAATCAAGATTGAACTTGTGTATAGGTAATACTTATAACTTATGCGTATATAATACTAACCTTAAAATGAATTTTAATCATTTGACTCAGATTTTATATAATTAAATGTTTGTTTTTACTTGAGTGATGCATTAAAAGATATTTCCATCTTTATTATTAATTTACATTTTTCATTTATAAAATAATAAAAAAACTATCCTTTTTTGATGCACAAAAAGAGATTTCTTTGAATAATACGTGACGTTTATTTTCTGTACCTTTAAACTACAAATTAATTACAATATACAGATAATATTGATCATATTTTGATTTTCACAAATAAGTATTTTTCGAGTATTCCATTTTATATGATATAACGCTGTATATAAAGTTCTCTTCCAATGAAATATTATTAATAATGCTAGGTGCAAATTTCTAAAAGTAACCAAGCATTCATATATTAAACCTCATTGGGTAGAATGGATTACTGTGAAGTATGATATTGATGTCGCCATAAACTAAAATATAAAACATCTTTCATATATTCTTTTATAATACATTAACTTTAATATGATAATTAATTACGATATATACGTTACCGTTGTGAAACTTTCATATGAAGCATCAAATATACCTTGAATTGATAAATAAAATGTTTTCTTACCCTTAAGTAATAGGAATAAAGTTAATTTTTGTATATTTGAGGGAGCTATGTACCATGGTAAATTGTATCTGTAAATTTACAACAGTTTATACAACAATTTATAATAGTTACACAGTTATTGTTCATGTTCTTAAAAATGTTTTACAAAATTTCATGCTTCTTTTACTTTATCTCATTCTCTGGTTTAATAAGTTCTGTCATTGAATATACAAATTATATAAAATTATATAAAAAAATTTCTAAATATTAAACTGTTTAAAGTTAATTTATACATGTGCATACATGTTATAAAATATTGTAAAGAGGTTAATAACATTAAAAATTAAATCGCTATATAAAAACGTCTATAAATGTCTAATTAATAAAATATTATTAAAAAAAATTTTTAAATCATACAACATGTTATATTGGATGACACAAATTAAACAAAATATTTTAAATATTTGTTCTTTAATGTTTTTTTTAAAATAATAATCTCTTACTCATAGAAATAATATTATATAATTCTATGTTATTATTGTATTGATATTAACGCGAGTTATAATAGTAACATGTAAGATAAATTCTCTGAAATTTTATAAAGGAGATAATACATTTTATAAAGGACATAATACAAACATACATACATACATACATAGTGTTATAAATGTCAGCATTATTATTTGTTACTAGTTGACTAAGATGACTGCCGAAGAAGATATAACAGATATGAAGTACAATAAGACTGACCGATACAAATATATCTACCATATTATCATACAATGTTATCTCTTGAAGGAGCTAAGATTTTATAAATAATATTTAAATGTTAATTAAATATTTATTTAATAATTCTTGAAACAATTTTTTAATGAAATAACTTACTTACTCGGAATGAATTAATACTTAAAGATATTACGCCAATCAAAATCACAATGATTAATGGGTTCCCTAAATTTGAAATTAACAGTTTGCAGAACCTTTAATAGTTAAAAATGTCATCATGTCTCATATTACAATGAAAGATTTCATAAAATCATCTCCTTGTACGTTTAATTAAATTTACAATATTTTCAAAATTTTCAAT